ATAGTTGTTTTATGCCTCATATTAACCAGATAGTGGTTTTATGCCTCATATTAACCAGATAGTTGTTTTATGTCTCATATTAACCAGATAGTGGTTTTATGTCTCATATTAACCAGATAGTTGTTTTATGTCTCATATTAACCAGATAGTTGTTTTATGCCTCATATTAACTTAAATGGATCAGACTGTCTGTATTGATTTCAAGGTCACAGGCTCAAAGTTTTCTATATTTCTGTGTTCAAACTTTTTGACACATCTTTAATTTTTCTCTACAGGTTTCCACTTTAGTTTTCCTACTTTAAAAGTTCAAACTGAACTCACCAGTTTAACTATTGAACTTCTGCAGCAGTTTTCAGCCAAAGTCTTAGCAATAAGCGTTCACGCTGCATTTTCCTAGGAAATGCAATTAGTCTAGTTTTTATCTACGGTAAAATGTTGCAGGAGCATATATCAATGCTGGATATCTGATTAGATCCAGTCAGACAGACTGTAGGTCCACGAACGAGAGACACCGTGTTTTAAATAAAAGACAAGGTTTTAAAGTCATTGTTTGATGTTGAAGTTCTAACTCAGTAAGAAGTCAGTATCAGAGAGTACCCCCAACTGAAGTACCTGTACTCAGTTTGAGTAAAACTGGTATCAGGATGCCCCTAGTTAAAACCAGAGTTGTAAAGTAACTAAGTACAAATACTTCTTTACTGTACTCAAGTAGAAATTTTGGGTATCTGTACTATACTTGAGTAATTATTTTTCATCATACTTTTTACTTCTACTTCGTACATTTTTACACAATTATCTGTACTTTCTACTGATTACATGTTTTAAAAAGTTAAGAAGTTGAAAGTTGTTACTCCTATTTCATTACAGCTTGTTAAAAATTATTATCCTCCTGGATAAAGTGAATTTAATTGTGGTTGGATGAGAAGTAAAAATATATATCATTCTGATCCTGTATTAGTTTGTACACAATCCATCATAGCTGCAAATAACACAAATTATGTCACACTGCAGCAGAATATATACTGTATGTAGCATGTAACAGGTGTAGTGCATCCTAAATTTTCTAACATTAACATTTTTATATGACAATATAGCCATTTTGACCTTTAGAAAAGCATTTTTTGAGGGTTTCACCTCCCAATAAATGTAATTTATTTATGTAATTTTACTCATTTTTACTCAATACTTTTACTTTTAATACTCAAGCACATTTTATGTCAGAAATTTACTTTTGATACTTGAGTACAAAATATATTAGATACTTTTAGATTTTTACTCAAGTAATATTCTTAAATGAGACTTTAACTTTTACCAAAGTAATTTTATGGTAAGATACTTGTACTTTTACTCAAGTATAACTTTGAGGTACTTTATACAACCCTGGTTAAAACCGTTGTTTCTGCAGGTTTACATGTCATAAGATGATTCTATAAAAAGTGTTGAAGTCTGTTTTTTTCCATTGTTTGTTCCAGGTCAGTCTGCCAAATGACTCCAGCTGCGTTGAAGAGATTTTGCGGGTATGTTGGTTCACACACACACACACACACACACACACACACAC